TGAATATCCACGAATGACACGAATTGGACGGATTTATTCTTTCGAAACACCTTTCAATTCGAACTTTTTTTCATCCCACATTGGATCCATTGAAAAAAAAATTTGATACTCTACACCATAAAAATCGAAATTAAAATTACAAGTGAAGGAAGGGCCGAAACAGGAAAAAAAACTTTGTTTGGTTTCATGGGGCCATCATCCTTAATTCATTGCGAAGAGCTGAATAAATTGGATTCATTTGCCATTGAAAGACTAATGTTATAAACGAAAAAAAACGCGCATAATTCGTTGAACAAAAAAATGTAATGAAAATATAATTTTATAATTACCCCGGAGGTGTAAATTCAATGGCAAAGTATTTCCGTAAACTGATACACCCGTTGTGTCGTGTGTATCTGTGTATGCACAGAGGCACAGCAGCGACAGCGAAAAAAAATTGTCGAATGGGGAAGGCAAAAACTTAGTGTTTTTTACATATTTCATTGCGCGCACTTCTCAATACTTTGCGTTTATTTATTTTTTGTGTGTGTTTCGCGGACATTTGCTTGTTCGCTGCAAATGAGATAAGCAGAAAGAAGTGACTCGGAAGAAAAGTATACACAACACACACACCATACGGTTGAACAATACACAAAAAGGGAGCTTAATTGGTTTTGTGCGACTATTAAATAAAAATGTTTCATTCATCTCGTGCGCTCGGTAGCTGCTGCCGCTGCCGCTGCCGCTGCCGTTGCCGTTGCCGTTGCCGTTGCCGTTGCCACCAAGTTCTTTTCATTCGCTTTGGCCTTTTCATTATGATTATTATTATTTGTGTTTATTTTTATTTCTTTCTCGTCACAATGAACGGTGCACGAGGAAACGGAATTCGGTTTTTCAATTAAAAATTAGATAATGCCATTTTCTTGTGTGCGTTGTTCGGGCACTCGCCACCGCGCTGTCGAACGAGAGCGAACGAAAAAAAAACAAAAACCATCACCAAACTAAATACAATTCAACGCATTGGTTTTTTTTACCTCTTGTTCTTTGCCGTATTTTGTTCGGTTGCTTTCGGATTAAGTTATTATGTTTATTTAAAATATTATGTTTGACAAGGCAGTAAAAGCGATATGGACGATGCCAAAAATGAAAGAATACGCACGGAAAAACGGGAAAAGTTTTCTTCCGTCTTGCAATTCATGTTCCGCGTTTTTTTCTTCTCTTTCTTGATATCGCCAAGAAAATGGACCCGTCATCACGGAGCAAATTGTAGAGCGCATTTTTTTTCCACTGCGTGCGGTGTATTTGTAATGAATTAAAGGTGGTCGTCCGTTTATTTTCTTATATTTTACATTTTTCTTTTATTTTCGTTCTCTGTTATTCGACAGTAGAAATGAATTTTTCGTGGCAGAGACTGAGACCAGTGTGAGTGTTTGTGTGGTGAGCGCAGATGTTTTAATGCGATTTTAAAATTACCCTTAGTCATTACTTTTTGTTGTTCGAACTTTTTTTTTGTTTATACCAAGCGAGGACCATTCACATCTATTCGACACATTCGCTTTGCCACGTCTCTCTCGCTCACTAGTCTGCCCTATTATTATTAATATTCGCGTTGTGATGATGGTGTGTGCCACTCTGTCGATGCCGTACCAAACGACGACGGTTACAATTTCACTTCTTACCGATGAATTGGGACTTGTTGATACGAGGCAAGCATCGATTTCGTGAATATCATTACAACTTTTACGTTGGTAAGTGAAATTAATAGCAGACGATATGATATATTTGCCCTAATTACATACCTATATTTATGCATAGCTGAGAGAAAAAAAAACATTATACTGCACGGCTATAATACAAAAGTGTGGTTTTATGTGAACAACATTACAACCATAGGGATGAGGATGATTTTTTTTCTCGTTCGAACATCTTTTGCTTATTTCACATTTCGTCTACTTCTTCTTATTGCCAATGCTGTTATGACTATTTTAGTTGCACACGGGCGAGAAGAAGAATAAAGTAAATTTAATTTAATTTCATCTATAAATCATGTTCTTGTGCCAAGAATATGCCTCCCATTGTATTTTCACATGAACTTCTGGATTATTAGGGGATATATTCACTTGTAACGACGAACATTTGCTATGTGCCTTGTTCTGATTATCATTGATTTGTAGTCTTGTCTGCTGACACAAAAGAAACATTATCCATATTTCTTATTGCTTTCTACCAGAATTTCGACTGTAAAAGCAGATGAAATAAATGGATTCAGTTCTTGAATTTATGCAAACAAAAATCACTCGGGGAACGAGGAAGATGGCTTTCGGCAACGACCAAGAAAAATAATAGACATTTTCAATTCTTTCTTCTAGAAACAAATGCTTCTAAACACTCGTTGTTTACTTTGGTACAGTTTATTGGTCTTTTTTCAACAGTGACAATTGACAGTTTTATAGTAAATGATAAAATTGCCTTTTATTTTAAAAAAGTAAAATTTTATGGTATGAAATTTATACTATAAGCTGTAACTGGAGATAAAATAACCGCAAAATAGTATGAAAAATGACAACCGCAAGGTTACACTATTGAAACAACGCTGTCGTAATGATTGTAGTCGCCATAAGCGTTCAAACGATAAGCGACACATGCAATGCCTCCATATGCATTATTGAATTCATTTACGAATCTAAAATCACCATTTTCACGAAACAGAAGAATGTTCACATTGTGTATCTCTGAAATCGCATTCAGCGATTCATATCCACCGTAGTATCCCGATTTTGATAATTTATCGCTCAAAAATGATTTGACTTTTGCATTCACTTGCTGTTCTGTTAATGTCTTTCCCGATCTGAAATCTTGCTCTTCATATATTCTTCCTTCGATAGCGGATTGGTAACGATCAAAATTGGCTTTTATATGGTGCACAACCTCGGCTCTTAAGCGGGCTGCTTGCTGGGTCAAATCCCTTGGTTGGCAGTAAAAAAGTTGATGAGCCATTGCAGCAAACAAACAATTTCCATTGCGTGGAATTTTAGCCACTCCAATCGACTTGGTCAATCCGGATGATTTCACATTCACCATTTTTCTTTCCATTGAAA